CCTCTAGTGAATGTGTGTAGCATTAAGAAGAAATGATTGAGGATGATCAGCTCACAGCTGCAAAAGAACAATTTAAGAAGGGAAAAAGCAAAAGCGTTGTTGCTAGATAAGTAAGGGACAACTTAAATAGAAGGAGGGATAAATGAGTGACAGGAACAATCTCACGGATTACTGCTTTGGCATGAACCTTCGAGCATGCGGCCAGCTTGCCAAATAAATGGACCAGTGAAAAGAGAGTCAATGGATTAACTTCAGGAATTAAGCTTATTAATGGATTTTCCTGCAGAGCGCATCCACCCATCCTGATAGGCAGAGATTCCTTTGCTTTCCCAGCTGCTGGGTTATACAGTAAAACAATTCCACACAAACTGCTGATGACACAGGGACTATTGATTTTTCCTTTAAAACGAATTGTCATTGACCTGAGGCAGTGCTACTCTAGCCCCATTCATTCGGGACTGATTTATTTAAAGCAGCACATGTTTGCTTGATTTAATCATGAACTGAATATATTTGAATAGGGATTGTTCGTGATCACAGTCTCCTCCCCATTTTTTTAGCTGCTTCTTTATTTAGATTAAGATTTCACTATTTCATCCATAATTTAAGAACAGGGAAGGAGGTAATTGGAACTGAAGGTAAATTACATTCTTTTGTAGAAAGCGTAATGATCGGAAGTTAGTTAAAAACACCTCGATTCTGTTCTAATTTTCATGCCTGGAGCAGTTGTTTTGACAGATGGATGGGCTTTATTTTTGTAACAGTCCAGGAGAAGTCTGCAACAGTCTACTCGGTGCTAATGTATCTGTATCTGTTATGTTTGTTTTTGAATCATTCTGCTTTCAGCTCCTATATCTGTTTCAAAGATAGATATTTTCTTTACATTTATACTTTGGGATAATATTTGTATGCATAATTCCTCTATTCATGTGATCCAAAAAGGCTAGAGTCCCCTAAAACTCAAATTCAGACAGCTTGTCATAAAGGATGATTTATCAAGGTTCCTCAGGTGTGGGCTTGGGTTCTGATTGGATTATAACTGCTCTTACTTCTAAACTAACGATTGTGGGGTGCTATTGATCTGAAGGTCCTCTTGATTAACTAACTCTCAGGATGTCAACTTGTTACCAAATTCATCTGTGTATATCAACCTAAGTTTCAAAAAGGATCAAGGTTTGAAAAATGAATTCATTTTGAGCTGACCGCACTGTCTTTATTGCGTTGTAAATCCGCCAGTGTGGAGCAAAGCAATGCGGTAGTTTAATGCCAAAAAGTACATTACATTCTGAGATTTGAGAAACGTCATGGTTCAAGGAAAGGTCAGAAACACTCCTCTTCTGTCTCCCCAGAGCAGCAATGTGTGAAGTGTGTTTCCTCTCGCTGCCACGCTTCCGTCTAGTTTAGTGAAAGGTCCAGGCAGCCTCGGAGCGAAATGAATATCCTGTTTGGAACACTCACGAAGCTTGCCCGCCACAGATTATAAAAGGAAGGCAATTGAATGACTGGATTGATGCACTGTTATGGAGACACTCTTTTAAGAAGAGATCCTTTCTAAGATGTCTTTCAGGTTTTGGGTTCCTTTCTGTTCAGTTATTTCTGTTTTCCTCCTCCATTGCTGGTGAGAGTTCTTCCTTTGGCTGTTTTCAAACCGATCTTGAAAGTATTTCCTTCCATTCCTTTGTTTTCCTACAACCATCTTTTTACCCTCTAAGCCCAAGAAATTGCTCCCCACTTTATTTGCATCAACCTTTACTTTGAAAATAATACTAAGGTAGCCTCAGGGCCTGGCAAACAGTACACTGCCGACTGGGAGAGTTCAGTGGGGAAATTAAAGAGATCTTTCTAGGCTTTGGGCCAAGAGGGTGGGGCTCCATTTTTCTGTAACTCAGATAGACTCACTTGTTATCAGCACACTCAGTCAGACCCTTTGCCAGGTTTCTCAGCTAGAGTCCTATGATTGATTTTGTTCCAGCAGCTTTGCAGAAGAATGGTTGTCAGAGGCTTGTGGTTCCCTATTTAACAGTTAATAGAGAACAAATTGAGAATTTGATATTCAATGAAGTCCAATTTTGTGGGTTTCAAGGACTTAGAGAGTTTTTCCTGTGTTAATTATAACCTGCTAGTTTCTTTAGAAAGAGAGATTTAGTCACTGGTAAATTGTTAATTGGTTATCTGATCTATAAAAAATAACGAACTCACAAAAGCTATGGCATTAAAATCCATAACAGTGGCAAAGGTAATATGACCCTTCCTTTGTGCTTACAAGTATTTGTACTCATAATTATGTTTTCCTTTTATACCATAAAGAGACGGAGTCTATTTTTAAATTGTTAGGAGGTATTAGATGTGAATAATGGAACTAGAGAAGTTAAATTTGCATGCAAAATGGGATATGAGTCTTCTGCCTGCAGACCAGCTAGATCTCTTCTGAAGTGAGCAAGGCATTCCTCTGAGTCAAATACTGTTACTTACTGGACTATCCATTTGCTTACCCATGTATGCACAGCCAATATCTTGATTTTGACATATGGTACCAGAACTCATTGTTTATCATCTTAACTGTGATAATATTTAGCCCACATTGAGGGATGGCTGTAAAAGCAGAATATGTGGCCACCTACATGTTTCAAAGCAAAAAAAGTTCTCAAACTTCCTCCTTTGAAAATTACTTTTTTTTTTTTTTCATTTTGAGGAGTACAAATATATCCTGTGGGCAAACCCATGAATACTTCACTTGTAAATGAATTTGTCAGATGTTTTCTTTCTCTAACCTCCTTCCTCTGTATCTGCATTCATGTTGTGTCATGTAAGTGAAGAAGGAGAAACTGATACAGAATGAAGTCTGTACTTCAAGAATAGGGGAAGCTAATTATTTATTATCTATCTATCTATCTATCTATCTATCTATCTATCTATCTATCTATTTACATTTTACTCACTTTGTATCCCAGCTATAGCTCCCTCTTATCCCCTCCCATTTTGCCCTTCCTCCCCTTTTCTCCCAAGCCCCTCCCCCAGTCCACTGATAGAGGAGGTCCTCCTCCCCTTCCATCTGACCCTAATCTATCAGGTCTCATCAGGACTGGCTGCATTGTCTTCCTTTGTGGCTTGGTAAGGCTGTCCCCTACCCCCATCAGGGGTCTTTTCTGAGACTGATAATCCAAACAAGAATCATTCATGGAGATAACCTAAAACCCCTGTATAGATGTACCCCATGCAGCTCAGTTCCCAAGTGGGTTCCCTAGTAAGAGGAACAGGGGCTGTCTCTGACATGGACTCAGTGGGAAGCTACCTTTTATCTGCTTCAGAGCAATTCTGAACAGGAACTACTCTGTTCAAAGTGAGTGAGGAAGGCGATGCCCGTTAAGCTAGGAAATCTTTCCTGATAACAGAATTATTTGCAAAATCAGTTGATATCAGAGCATAATTTTATGCCTTGTTTGACAACAAACAAACAAACAAAACATTCTGGATCTATTTAACAAAACAGTCAAAGATATAGTATTTTTATTGTAGTTCTTACTTCCACAAATTTCGCATCATTGTTAAGAAAGAATGAGAACTCACATCTGAAACTTATATTTTGTTTTAGCTAAGTCTAATTCATCTTTGGAGAAGTATTTTCAAAGGACAACATCAGGTTTCCCCCTTGTACAATCAGATAGAATGAACAGCAGGCACTTTCTTAAATTTAAACGTCAATTATTCTGCTGGAGTCGCCTGTTCCTTATTTTATGGGCCAATGGAGTTAAGACCCAAGTCATCAGCTGCAAGTCCTAGATGCAAATGTCATGTGGAAATGTACTCAGCATGTTCTAACACTCCAGTTATAAACTCTAACTGACTGCATGAGTCCAGATGCATTTGGAGTTCACACCTGAGAAGCCACGGGTCACACTGGAAGCTTTGAGGCCATCACACACTTAGGAACGTAAGAATCAACTTGGTTCTCCCTTTTGTGAGCCAACCTCATTTACACAGTAGTCTGCCCTGAGAGTTTACCTGCGCTTTTGATTACAGTTCCAGGGCTTACTTTCAAATATTCAACTGAAAAATAACCAACTCAGAAACTATGAACAACCTAGAAAAACATCTTTCAGTATACTTTTATCACGTAGCTTACAAATGCATACTCCTTACAAAGTCAGCCTTGCACTAACGATGATTAGCTTCATCATGTCTTTTATTTGTGTTCCCATTTTCTAAATGTAAACCCAGAAGTCATTTTTGTAAGAAGACTTTCACCATCATCTTGTTTGAGTAATTTGTTATCTAGAGAGTTTGTCACTGTCTGCACTGTGGCAAAAGTCATGCATAATCCATGGCAACCCAGAACTTTTTATTCTATTAGGTAGGAATGTTTTAGAAATAGTTTTAGTGAAAAATTATGGAAGGGTATATGTCTTATCCAGTATTACTGTTGCTGAGATGAAGCACCATGACCAAAGCAATTTGGAAAAGAAAAGGTTTATTTGGCTTACACTTCCTCATCACTGTTCATTCTTGAAGGAAATCAGGGCAGGAACCTGGAGGCAGGAGCTAATGGAAGGGTCATGGAAGAGTCCTGTTTATTGGCTTGTTCACCATTGCTTGCTCAGCCTGCTTTCCTATAAAACTCAGAACCACCAGCCCAAGGGTGGCACCACTTACCATGGACTGTGCCTCCCCCATCAATGACTAATTAAGATAATGCCCTACAGGCTAGCTTATATGCCAATCTGATGGAAATATGTTCTCAATTGAGGTTCCGTCTTCTCAGAGAACTATAGCTTGTGCCAGACTGATATAAAACTAGCACACTATGTTATATTTATTTCCTCAACGTTTAAGGATTTTATATTTTAGTATATGCATTGCTGTGAACGAAATAACAAAATTATAAATGAGCCCTAATAATTGGGAAAGGGGTGCATACAAACTCCGTCTTAGCATGCCCAACACCCTGGATTCTTCAGTTAGGCTGGCTGCTAGAACTAACTGGTTTGTCTTTTGTTTTACAGAAAGAATGTGCTAATTTCATCAAGGTCCTTAAGGCTTATAATCAGACTCACTTGTACGCCTGTGGAACTGGGGCTTTTCATCCAATTTGCACCTATATTGAAGTTGGACACCATCCTGAGGTAAAGCTGACTTACAAAAATGCTTTCGTTCCTGCCTCCTTCCAGTTCAAATGCTTCATTGCTAATTTCATCAGCTCATTTAGCTTCTTGTTCAGTATTCATGGGGGCCTACTTCAGATTTGGATGCTGTTATTCATTTTAGTTTGCGGACATAAAACAATGAGTCTATCACGCAACAAGAAGTATGAGACAAGAGAGGGGAAGAAAACACTTGTTCTCACACTGGATTGCAGAGTCATCCTCTTTGTATGTGAGACCAGTGTAGGCAAGCTGAACAACTACTCCTTTCTCCTTTATTTGTGTTTGCTAGCTTTCCCTGCCGTATCTTCCTCAGTCAAAGGTCTCTGCTTCCTACTGTTTTGTTGTCATTGTTGTTGTTTTGTTAGTTTGTCTTATTTTTTATTGTTGTCCTTTTCTGCCTCTGAATTAAGAAGAATCTTTTTTATACATAAGTTCAAGGATGAACTCTCCCTTTTGGGTTCTTGCTTTGTTAGGTTTTGCTTTTTATATTTGTGATTGTTACATTGGCATAGAAAAGACAAAATACATTTTGCTCTACCAAAAGATGTTGTAGAGAGAAACTTCAGTGAGAGAATTATAGCTAAGTAAATTTAAACCAAAATTAAAATAAGATCTTGCTAATATTGCAAGTGGTGTGTTGAATTTGGTTTCTCAGTCGCCTCAATTATAAGTACTGTTGTCATTCTTGGCACTAACTCTTCAGAACAAGTGTTCATGCGGTGAAAAAAAAATGATCTGTGAAAGAATTTTCTTCCAAATTGGAATATAGAAATGCTCAACAAATAAAGAATTTGTTCACAGATTACTTCTGGAATCCTAAAGATAAGACCAAATTTACATGTCAGCCACTTATATCTTAAGCTGTAGACTCCTGCTGCATTTTCTTAAGGTGTCCTATGAGATGGGAATGTGTTGCATTGATTCCAGAGACAAGAAAGCCAAACATTTCAAGCTTTTTCTTCTTTATATAAGACAACACATTGCAGGCTGTGTTTCCAAATCTAAAACTATGTATGCTGTTGCTTTCCTGGTGGCTCTAGAGAATTTAAAACACTTTCATGAGGACTCCTCCGCGTAGGTAAATTATATGCCTGTGCCCAGCTACTCTTGTATCTCTCTTTCTCCTTTCCTCAGAAGCACATTTGAAATACGTGTCGATATGGACACAGTGCTTCATCATACTATGGTTTTTAGGAAGGAGGTCCTCTAAGTTTCACATTGAGGAAATTACAAGTCAGTTCATACACGTGGCCCTGGAGAAAATACACATAATATGTTTAGTCACCTCTGATTAAATAATTGTCCCCATGCTACCATCCCAAACGCTGAACTGCTGACATCAATAAGGGGTCTTAAAAGCTGGGCCCATCGTGTTGCACATGTTGTACTTGGAGTCACAATGTTCCCGATGGGCAGAACACAATAATGCAATTGTGCTTCCAAGAACCTCCTGCCTCAGAGAAGCAGAAAACCATGGATTGTGGTATCACAATAGGCTTCTTATCTCACTCCACAAACTACCAGCTGTGAAACACTGGAAAAGTTACCTGATGAGACATGATACGCTAGAGTCATATGGAAGGGGAGGAAGACCTCCTCTATCAGTGGACTTAGAGAGGGGAATGGGAAGAGATGAGGTAGGGATGGTGGGATTGGGAGGAAATAAGGGAGGGAGCTGCAGCTGGGATACAAAATGGATAAACTGTAATTAATATTAAAAAAGATTTTGCAAAAAAAAAAACAAAACAAAAAAGTTACTTAACATCTCATAGTCTCTGCTCAAAATATCTAAATATCTAAATAAATAGATAAATAAACAAACAAACTATCCTTGCCTAGGCATCCACATATGTTGAATGAGAGTTATGTTGACCTATTAGCTGAAATTACCTTTCACCCTCCTAACATTCAGTGCTAGACAAACTCAAAACATCCAATCTCATTGTTAAAGCTTATCTTTCTTATGGCCTCAGACTTCAGTGTTTTCAACACCCTTTTACTCAGCTTTAGCTGCTCCATGTAGAAGTAGTTGTTTATTTTATTGCATCTATGTTTCTAATGTAGATAATTGGAATGAAGATTTTTGAGCTCTGATGGGTCATCGTTGCTGAAAACCAATACCTAATGCTCAAAAATATAAATTTGTCTCAGATTTGAAGCCTTGGCTGTGCGTCTTGTTAGTAATTGCCACCTTACCCCTTATTTACAACTCACCTCATCTGTGCTTATAAATAATGCCACTAGGATTTCCTTACTGTTCGTGTACTTATCTTAAATCATCCATCTTCAAAATCTGAGACTTTCACTACTTTGGTATTTATTTATGCTAAAATTCTACACATCATTTCTACATTCATCATTTTTCCTACAATGATGCCTCCACCTCGTCTATAATTGCTGCTTTATTTTATTAATAAAGTATTATCTTTCTTGCCAACTGTACATTGCTGTTCTTTGGGTGGGCTGTTAGGAGAGTGAAGGGCTACAGTCCATTTGCTCAGCTCCCCTCCACTGAAATAATAAATAAGCTTAGGTTCCTATGTGAGTTCCTTTGTGATGACATATTGAGGTGCAAGTTTTTTTTTTTTTTTTTTTTTTTTTTTCCTGAGAATTTCAGAGTTTTGAGACAGGTCCACCTTAAGTTGCTCAGTGATTTTGGTTTGCATGAAGACTATAAATTATGAAATACCATTCCAGAGTAGGGGGTCAGAAAGAAGATGATTATACAATTACCTGGAGAATTTGGAGCAGTCTAGACAGGCAATCTAGGAAATTCTGGAAAAGATATTATCAGGAGAGCTTGTCTAGACTACATCAAATTTAATTTTCAATGCTTAAGCTGCCTTCTGAGACAATCTGCTTTAAATTGATCTATACTATTACTTAAAATGCTACCCTTGGCTTTAACCAATTTTGCTGTTTATGGAGCTGAGAAAAAGAGACAATGTGCACTTTATACTGTTAGAGAATGACACTAATGGAAAGCCTGGAAGAGGAAAACATAAAAGAGCCACAGGGAGGGAGTCTGGGAATGTTGGACTAAGATTCACACACTCATGGATTTGGAAAATACAGACTTTTGAAAGCTGTTTCTAAAGTAACATTTATGTTTTATAAGATTATAACATAATTAACCTTCTTTCCCTTTTCCTTCCTCTCCCCAAACCCATTTCCTACACCCAATCCCCTGTTCTCTTTCAAATTCATCCCCTTTTCCTTTAGCTATAGAGTTGTTTACTTACACATTTTAGGTTAGAAATTACATGCCTATTTTTTAATAGCTGTCCTATGCTACAAAAACAGTGAAACATAATTTCATTATATGATTTTTTAGTGTTTTAGACTACTACTATATGTATGAAAAGAGGGATCTTCACTTTTAGCATCTGTAAAGATTATCAGCAACAATGCCATAGGTAACTTCTGCTCTGCAATATACCTGTCTTAAAGTATCCTAGTTTCCGAGCTTCTGGACATTCCAACATTAGAAAAGTGCATATGGACAGAACATCTTTATAATAGAATGCCACAGAAGTTAAGACACTACTTTTGATAAAAATGCAAGGCCGCATTCATCATTTAATAGTTTTGAATCTTAAAGGAGAGAATTATGACTAGCTATTTCTAGTAATAAAATACTTTTCAAAATACCATCAAGTTTAGCCTTATAGTTATAAAACTAGACTCTTCTTCTTCTAGCATTTAGATAGCTATGTACTGTTGAATAGTGCCTTCTAAAAATCTAGTTTTTCTGTCTAGTGAATGCCTTTGACCACACACAGTATGTCATTGATTGCTGTATTAAACAGATTTTCTGTTTCCTGTGGTACATTTGGGAATTGGTAGACATATTAATTAACTCCAGCTCTGTAAGATATGTGTCAGTCAATTCTTGGGCATCTGCCAATAGCCCTTGACACAGCAGATAACTGCCAACAAGGTCACATGCCTCATACACATGTGTACGTTTGTCATAAAACTCCTGCAGAGTTCACGGAGGGAGTGATTCAGACTAGTGCACAGATGAGCTTGGAGTTGTAGTTCCAACATCTCTGCCATTCAAATGAAAATTGTGAGTCATCCTTTAGAGGCTAGCTATTCCCAAATGGCTTATAGTATATGGTATTTCCCCTTCAAATTTACATCTGTTAATAAAAGTGTATATATATATATATATATATATATATATATATATACTTAGAAAGAGTATAGCTTTTTGAAGAAGTCTCTGGGTATAGTCTCAAATTCTAAATGGGTCTCTTCTATGTACTGGCAGGAATCCTGAAAAAAGATGGACACAGATGTTGCTGGATAGTATTAACTCTATAAATACTCTCATAATGTCATGGTCTCAATTTATAATAGAAACAAGCAGACATTAAGAAAAGCAATGAGGCTTCATGGCCATCTCTCAGGTCACTTTGGCAGTAACAGCCAATGTTTCTGTGCAGGAAATAAAATTGTCTAGTTTTTCCCTTTTGTTATGAAGGGGAATTTGTTTTATATGAAAGTCTGCAGCATTGATGTTATTTAAATAGCATGTAGTGCTCTGTCAATTACTTGATTTCTGGTTCACTTATCTTTCTCATTTGTTTTTTTTCTGTTTGCTCTAGTGAAGCACTGATTTATTTCTAACAAACATATGAGTAAACTAATTTCAAAATGTTTTCGTATTACCTTTCCCTATTCCTTTACCTTGGAGGCAGTATTTGGCTTGTAATAAGCAAACCCTGGTGAGAAAGTCGGAGTTCTTTTTCAGTTTCTTCCCAGATGTTCATTATCTCTGTGAGAGGTGATCTGTTCTTCCTTTTCACTATTGACCTGAGCTATATCGTATTAGGGTTAAGTCCTTTATTGTGTCTATTTTTTTTCTTTAGGCTTTTGAATAATTGAATCATGTAAAGAAATTGACCTTTGTGTTTTACTATTTAATAAACAATACTTCCATTTTATCTTAAATCAACATTTAAAATCATGTG